ATGCCGTCGTTGTTAAATAGTCAAAACTCTAATCTGGCTATAAAAGTGTATGCATAACCACGTACGGACTAATGTTTATCGGTCTAATCAAATGTGAAAGGTCAAATTATTACCGACAATTTGCTCTTGGCTTTGCGCTCCTCGTACAAATCCTCGGGTCAATTGTGAAAACAAAGCTGGGAATAACTGCGGCGTTTGTTTACATCGGATTAGTAAAAAGCAAATGCTGATATTGACAGTGTCCAGACCAAACGCGTACAACAATCGTTTCCCAAATTGCAATAGGCATAAACAAAGCAATTCAAAGTATTCGCACACCGTCACGTACCCATTACATGGACAAACTGATTGGGCTGTCACAGGCACACGGAAGCCGCACGATCGATAAACAGTCAACCGTGGGTGGGGCCTTTAAATCGGCCGTGTCATTGCCACTGAACGTACGTTTTACACTATCGCTATGGATCCATTAAGGTTCTTAGAACACTTTAACATGGATATTTGGCAAGCTATTTTCATGGTTACCGTTGTTGTCCTGCGCGTAATCGTTGAGAAAGTTCAAGACACTGCACATGTGAAAATGGACGGTCCCGATTGAAAGCCTAGCTTACAACGTTGACTTTAAAGTATTCTGTCCGGAACTGTTTAATTGTTGCTCTTTTACACTGATCGTTTGTTTAAGTGACACTTCTACGCAATGCCCAATTATCCATTTCTATTATCCATTCCTACAAATATATTTCTGATAATGTAGGTTTAGCTTACCCGTTATCGATATTGTAAAGTGCTGCAAATGTGCCCATCTGGATACATAAGGGTTTCTTGGAAATGACTTGACTTGGAATCAGTCCAATAAGGCAAACGTCAGGCGGCAAAGCGCCGGGAGTCAATTCACGATAGTATGAGTCATTGTCAGACCAAAAGCTTTCACTAAGTGGAGGGGTGATGGGAGGGTAAAGGATCTAAGCGAGCTCTGCGTGCGTCTAGAAAGTTTGCTCTAACAAGACGTTTGGGCACAACTCAAAACACGCAGGGACGGAAATAATGGCACACTTGAATAGTCAAAACGTCTGTAACCTTTCCCTCCAAATTCCTCCCTGTAGTTTCTCCACCCTTGGCTGTTCTCCTTCCCTAATTGCTTTTTCCCTATTCTGTGCACTATCCTCGTGCAAGAGATCGTCCAGTGTCGTGTGTATCTTCCTTGGAAAAGTGCTGATACCTACGCTTTCGTGATTCACCGTGCACTCAGAGATTGTGGAGACTACACTTCGTATTTCAGATAACATCCCAGTGGCGTTACTTCTCCCGCCTGACGATACTGGTCAGTACGTGCATTTGCCTACTCCGACTTCCACTCATTTAGAGATGTGAGCATTTCTCCACCACTACTCTCGCTGCGTGACAGTTCCAAATCCACTTCCTTCGCATTGGCACCACCGTTCGGCAAAGGTAACGACAACGATTTATAACCACCGACCAATACGTTTATAGGCAACAATGACTCGATCACTGTTTCCTCACGTGATACTTGCGAAACGCCACCACTACTGTCACCGAGGTCCTCACGCTATGGTCAAATTTTGATTCACTCGTCAACTGTGACAACACACCAATACTCTCATCTCGAGAGGCCACCTGAGCGCTCCGCGCAAATTCGTCAACCGTCAACACACAATAATCCTCTTCACCACTGCCAACAATAACGTTCATGGTATACTTACTCAATTTGGTATAGAACCGTACTAGATACGGAAACCATCCAAACTCTTTTCCCCCACTAACATCCAAACGAACACAAACGGATAGCCACAACCATGACGACAACGAACCTGGGGTCGAATCTCACAACACTTCTCGTAACAAATAACTCAGAGGAAAATTACGCAAATACTGTGTGTACAAACTTCACTGGGCTACTGTACCCGACCAGTCCAACTGCATTCCCTGCATCCTCGACAGCATCAAGGTAAGTGCTGGAATGCAAATCCTCACAAGCTGTTCTTCTAGACCCAGTCTCCACGCATAAACAAGCATTCTCTAAAAACATATCGCACACAAAATGCGTAACCCTCACCACTCCGCGTTCAATACACCCACAATACTAATCACGGCCAATCAACACGTCTCCGCCCATTGTCTCATCTGTTGTGACAACCTCACATCCCCGCGTGTATTCAGACCAAAGCGTACACAACTCCTTTCAACTCACTTTCTGGTGCACACAGTTTCGTACCAGCCATATGCAGCTAGTCATGCAAGTCACACATCACCGTCTCAAACTCCAACAGACCAAAAGACGGTAATTCCTACATTCCTTATCAGGTGTCCGCAACTACATTTACACCGCCCAACGCACCTTTCACATGAAGCAACTCATCAGCTACACCAACCACCACGATCTCCTGATCCACCGACTACACTGGATCTTGTACATTGAACAGGTCTGATCTCTTCTCAAAAGGGGGGGGGATCGGACCTCAGAGCCAAAGTTGGCAACCTCAATGTCGCAGCGTAGCCTAAGTGCTCCCTCCACATATCGTTTACTACATTGTATGTAATTGATGGAGGCGGATGATGAATTTTCCCATTCCATTGGACCAATCACCGTCCATCCCAGAGGGCTTCTTGCGTCAAATGGTTGATCTCTTTCACCGGGGAGCTGCTCCAGGTGCAAATGGGCCACAGGTACATCAGCTCCGAGCACGATTCTCACATGCGCAGCTCTGAACTCCCCAAAGTTGCACACCCTTAAGATGCGGTCAGCGTTGAGCTAGCGTTAGAGAAGAAATCTTGACGGGTTTCAGACGCAATTTGTTAAGACAGTAAGCACGAGGAACATACATCGGATCATCCGCATTCAGTGAAGTCAAGTTAAATCCAACGGTACTTGAGCCAACCGACGAAGTACTAGTTAACGTCTTACTCTCTAACGACACAGGCTACACGTTGTGCCAAACTTGAATAAGTCTGGTGTCGGCGAATGAAGCCAAGTGTACGCTTTTTTTCTTCAGAACCATAAGCCATCATGTGCACAGTGTTCATAATGGCGTTCACATGTCTTTGAACATACATATAAGTAACAATAAATCAGATGTCACTATTCCGAAACTACTCCCGAAAACCAAAAAAGCTTTTTCCTTATCCTCTACTCCAAGATCAGAACCAGACTTCGGAGTGAAGTTCGAGCATGCCACATTGCATAAACTCAAGCATGCCGTTAGGAAACATTCGATGGCTCAACGCACAATTAATAGGTTATGGACATCGCAGTCCCTTAATACGGCCTTCGAAATGGTCTTGTTTGTATCAGATAAAAATTACTTGCAGACACACTTAATCAGGCTAATTGAACACCTGAACATCATCCTACTTCGAACCACAGTTCTTTTCTTTCCTGCTCTCTACCTGACCCGTATATCTGCTATGTATTCCCGTAGAACAACTATACATCAACGGAGTTAAAAACTAGTCAAGAGTTCTGAATGATTTTTGTGACAGGCACATAAAATTTATGCGCATATTCGCTTTAATTCATTAGGTGATGGCCTGAAATGGTTGTCATATTTTCCTTTCGTTCCTTCGATTCCTTAGCACCTCGCGACTTGGAGAAATATATGAGTTACTTAGTTAGTTGGTGACCTTATTTGGATTCGGCCTGCTAACTGTCCTAGCCAAGCCGGTTAACAAAACGAATCAGACAAACAGAAGAGTCGACTGTGACTTGGTAGAAATTGAGTTGCACTCTTCTTGAAGAATTATTGCTTTTGTTCGAGGATCGTTTATGATAAACTAATGGTAGTACACGGCTGAACAAGAATATTCTGAAGGTGATATTTCGATTCATTGATATACCCGAGAAGTTTTGTGAAGCTGGATTAATGAGGGACACTCATTGAACCAGACGTGCGAGGCACTGTCTGAAGGAAAGCGGAGGGCATGCGCTGACATGAGAAATTGTATTTACTTTGTTACTCGTGATTGTCTAGTGGGTTACCTGGGCTCTCCCTTGTGTTCTCTGAAGAGAACCGCTCTTTAAACTTCTGTTTCGCTAACACTCAGCAGCCATTGTATGAAATAGCAGTACCACCGAATGTGTTTCACTTGACGTTCGAGGATACTGCAGTTTTGCCACTTGTACACGTCACAGAGAGGAACTAATTGGAAGTCGAGGCACGCCCATTACAATAACAAATCTTAGGGGGGTTCCTGATAAATTCAACGTCAGTAGATGAGGCGGAAAGAACGACTAGATGCACTTAGTATTTGCTGCGCCGCAAGTAGACAATAACGCAGTCGTCGTTTAGATGCCGACTATCTGTGTAATGCAGCCACAGTCCCTTTAGACTAAAGTACCTAGTGTGTGTGAGTGTGCGGAACGCATAGTTCGTCCATGCGGGTGGCGTTTTTAATTTTCTCAGTCAAAGAGCTCTTTCAGGTAGATTACGAACTTTCTTCCCATGGCAGTCATCATTGCGGAGAAAAGCGTATTATGGACACTTAGGCGAGCGATCATATTGCCGCAGATAGGCTCATATAAAGCAGATCACGCACCACCTCAGCATTCTTCTGGGTGGTGAATGCGACCGTCATTTAGCTAGCATACTTAACCGGAACGGACCCTACAGGATATGTTCTGTACTGAATTCCATGCCACAATTTACCAGTTCACCTACTTGTAAAGTGTTGAACATTTCTGCAAAGCCAAGGATGTACCGGCATACCGACCAGTGGTGTACCACCCCTACAAGGGTTTCACGTTGCTGCAAAGGTACTTGAAGATTACCACGGACGTCGAAATTTTTGCCGCAAATGGCGACAATCGGCTTTTCAACAGATATCAAATTGATTTCCTACTGACGCTGTTCTTCGAAGCAATCGGAAATTAGGTATACCATCATTTACATCTGCTCGTATGAATGATTTCAAGAGCACATTGCTCTCATGCACATGGTTACCATGCAACGGGGACCTACACAACTTCTGCTTTCCCCTTTTTGCAGGGTACACGACCAGCAAGTGATTGCCATGTTGTATTGCATCGTTCTTTTGGCCATTGGACTCTCGGTTACATTGTACTGTACAGGATGCCCGGTTGCTGAACTGGAGTTTTCATTCATAGTAAGTTCTTCACACAATACGGTTTGCACTGATTTTTCCAAACAGTTTGTTTAGTGTTGCGTGAATGATATAAGTCAGAAAAGCAGTTATTTTGTAATCAGGCACACGTCACTTAGTGAAAATTGTGAGACCTGCTTTCTGAAAAGTTCGCGTTGTTGAACTGATATAGCACTAGACCGTTTCGCTGCACTGATTAAATAAATTTCGCTAGATTTCCACTACCGAAACTAATGAGTTGATAGATTAAGTTGTCTCTAGACTAGGGTCAACCATTCATAGTTAATGCACCAAATTATTCATAAAGCCTACTCTTCGGATCCCTATCACAACCTTTGCTATAATAGTAATCCCGATAATGTGCAGCAGAAAAGTCACCAAAAACAAACAAACAATGATAATAATTATAACAATAATAACGACATTAATTCAATTCGCTGTAAATAAATAAATTCTGCGTAAATGTTTCGACGACGGGAGATGCAGTCCAATTAGATGGTTTGACCAATTTCTACAGCTCCAGTATGTTCGAAGCGGTTACCGAACATGTTTTCAGTTAGTCAGAAAAACGATAAGATTGACATGAAGGATAGGTGTAGAGATAGCCAAGTTTTAAATGAATTAATATAGCCATTCGTAGAATGCCTTCTGGGGACCTATTATTCTGTAAGGCAGTTCATCGAAAGGTATGATCCTCATTTCCATGTCTCATCTGACCATGGACTCAGGTGGCTTAACACTAGAACGCCAGGAGCGGTCATTTTGACTACTCAGTTTTATTTATGCATAGTTTCTGCATTATAAAAAAAGTTAAATATATTCTGTGACTAATACTTTTAATAGTTTATAATCGTGAAGCTGGACTTTGGTGTCTGTTAATTCTATCGAGAACCATAAGAGTTGTGTTCGTGCTACAGAGAAAGCCCATAGGCTGTTGTCACAATGACCGCATTCTGCTAGTTTTGTATTTTTTGTTTTCCAATTAAACACTACTATTATTTTTGACAATCCGAAGGTTTAGCGACGGTTATTTACAATACCTTGTAGGAGGAGAAAAGCAGCTGTTTTTACGAGAACTCACAGTTGTCGATTATAACAAATATGAAGACGAGAGTGGATATAATGTTGATGAAGTTTTCTCTATCCAGGAGTCTGCAGAAGATAGCAACCTTTATGCTGGTCAAAGTTCTGAATTTCGTTCCTCATGAGGACAATGGGGACGGCTGAAACCATTACTGCATCTTTCGGAAAGTGCATGTATACAAATGATACTTCATGGACTTCAATAAAGTCCCAAACAACTAATACAAAGCTGAATTTAGGGAGTACATTCATGCTAACTCCACTTGACGAGTCAAAACCAGAACGAAACCGTGCTTATGGTGTGCCGATGTTGCGAAGAACAACACCCAAATATTTCCAGACAACTACTTTTCATAGGATAACAGTACATGTTTCCATGACAAGACCATGAGCAACTTCCTACGCTGAGAAACGTGTGAAATATTGTGAGCTCTCTGGAGTGTTTTTGGCATAATGTTTGCGTTCCGCATGTTGAAGCCCATGCAAGTAGGTACTGAAACAGGACAAGCGAATGTTAGATGTCACTTGTCCGTGCAACAAAAGTGGAATCTAAGGGTTCCTGAAAAGCGTACGTTGTTCGGTCAACTTTACATCGGTGGCTTCATAAGCTTGAGGAATGCTGTTGAATATACTGTCGTGTTAGAAATACGGATTACCTGGTTTCAAGTAAACATTTGACAAGAACAGTTTCAAGAGATTAATGAGGTTCCTTCGTTTTGATATGTGAACTACCAGAAGTGTAAGGATGCAAAGTGACAAGTTTGTTTGCATATCTTAATTCCAGAATGCATTTATTCGTAACTCTCAACAGTGCTATGTGTCAGCATAGAACCTTATCGCTAACGAGCAATTATTTCCCATCAAAATGCTGTAATTTAATTCAATACATAGCCAACAAACCTGACATATTCAGTAGCAAGTTTTAACTCATGGCAGGAATGGACATAAAATAGCTCACAAGCTTTGTGTCTCCCTTGTTTGGAAGAATCTCCAATGCCACAAGTGACAACTTATTCACATCTGCAATATTGAGAGTAATACACTCTGAGAAACGCACAAGTTTGGTGGGATCTATTCGACCTAATAAATGGTGAGTACCAACAAGTCTGATGGGAAGCAGTCGTGTTGTTCAGTTCCTTCGTTATACAAAGTGACAATAAACGCACACTGACATTCTACAATAAGAAGTCAAATAGCATGTGATCTGGGTAAAAGATAGTTTGTGGTTCACTTGGACAAATTGAGTTATCACCTGTCTTTAAGTGTAAATCTACATAAGTATATGAAATTATGTGCGATTTTTTGAAAGTTTCAATTCAGTATAATGATTTCCCAGTTAAAACTATTTTACAAGATATGTCTTAACTTATGTACTCAAAGAAATCAGAAACAAACGTTGTAATAAACATATACAACAATGCGGTCATTTTGCCCGGTATCGGGAGATATAGGAAGGTCGGCGGAGCGGTCTTTCTATGGTTAAGCGAAAGTTAGCCAAACCGCACAAACTCATCTTTAGCGCCGTTGTTGGACGTACAAAATTATGTACACGCCATCGGTTATGTTCCGACATTCAATATTTTCGAGCCATGCGCTTTTATTGCTACCCTGTGAGTTTATGGCAATTCGTTCTTCGTGGGTGCATTGCAGAGATTTGAAGCTCCAATGCATGACCTGTGGAGATCGACCTAGTCATGGCCAGAGGTGAAAACAAGAAAAGATTAGAACGAGGTGAAATATCATTAATAACAGGTAAATGGCACCGTCCTCTATGGCAGGAGACACTGTGCTAAGGTTCGGCTGATTCAAATTGTGCCCCTAGGTAGAAAAACAACCGTTGGAGACAGGTAAAAACAATGGAATCAAAAAAGTAGTTTAAGGATGAGCAACCGCATGTAGTCGAGCAGCAAAGGAGTCGATATCGAAACCGAGTTCGAGGTGTCCTAAGAACTGTTAGGTGCATCAGAATTATTGCATACTGGGAAGAAGAAGATGCTGATGATGAGGATGAAGCATAAAAAAGAGCTAGCCGTGCCCATAAATGAGAAGTTGTGAAGACAATTTTTCGCTTTGGCTAATTTAGGTGTATGGTTAAGCGAATATTTCTCGTCGTATACAAAAAAATCCTGCCGATGACTATCTTAGCACAACAAATCAGAAAAGAGCCATTAAATCAGCTTTATGGTGATTTCTAAAGGAAATGCCACCGAGTCTGCTGGCCAGAGTTGATAACACGACATCGGAGTCAACGCCACCCAACATAGCTTTTACAAGACTATTCATTTGTTTAATTCTGTCTCATAATAGCAATAGCCTCCTATTCATTGAGGAAGGAAAGTTTACAGAACAGAACTTTATCGCTGACTGAAGTTCACGTCACATTTTGAAGTCAGTTCTTTGATACCTATATCAAAGCGTTGACTGAACTCTCCGACTGCTTCATTCTTGGTCTTCTCTCCACTGCCGTTGTTATTTGTATGATAACTTGTTGACTTTTTAGTTGTGTTACCGTAGTTGAAGGATGTATGTTTTGGCATTGTATCAGAGAATGCGAACTGATTAAGTTTCATTCTGCGCAGCTATAATGGATCAAAGGTTAGAGTGATGTATTGATAAATACGTGATGTTGTGTAATATCCCGAGAGGAGCTTGAAAAGTGACCGCTGCCCTTTTTGTGATGCTATACGGTCACGCTTCCTGCCATCGCAGTAGGGCATGCAGTTCCAGTCTAGCAATGAACGCGTGTGGACGTAGTTTGTACACGGAGTTGATCGACTCAATACAATCGTTTTAAAGAGAATAAATATGTCCTTACGATCTTTGGCTACAGTGTGTCCAGTGGGCTCAGCCCAGTTGATAGCGTTTGTATAGTGAATCGCTCAGTCATGGATGCTATGGCAGTGGGACTGTGGCTCATTGGCATTAGCAAGCTAATCCGGTCTAATTTTACGTCTGTAGGATGGTATATGGTATGTGGGGACGCAGAATGACAACTTCCACATAGAATATTTGTGAGCACCGCCGCTCCCGAGCGGTCGCAAAATAGTTTTCTCCTACGTTAATCTCCTTTAAATCTTTGGAATTCGCCCTTACGGATTCCATAAATGCTATGTCGATTCATAGCTTCCGTAACCGGGATGTCCTGACACCGGAAGGCCAACCGTTGTCATCTGCATGGCAGGTGCCTGCATAGCAGTGGAGGATGGGTCGGGCTATATCGCAGTTAGCTGACAACTAGTGATGGTCGGCTACCGTCCTCCATGGCGCAGTTGCATAAGCTGCGGGCTAGTTGGCACAAGCCACTAGCAGTCATGCGTTCGATCCTCCGTAGAGGACCGAAGGATGCGCACCCCTGATGAGCCCCAATAGGGCGAAACGGCCGTCTGCTGCTTTTCCGGATAGGTAGTTGACTTTTCTGGATTGTCGGCTGACTGCGACGACCAAAAGTACTCACAAAAATCCTTCTACTCATAAGTAATCTTTGGATTTATTCCCACAGAGTGGAAACATTCGGTTTGGCTCCGCGAGCTCCTCCTACTACTGTTCACTTTTTGGATCTGTCATTAGCGGCTCACCAACAAACTGTGCTCTTGAATTTCGAAGTCAACCGTAGTTGAACCTTATGGGAGGCTTTATTTTCCTGTCGTTTTATTTTAAGGATCTTTTTGACAGTCACCCGATCAGCTTACTACCATTCCTTCAAGTCGCTTTACAAAGCGATAGTCGTCAATTTGGTCCGCCCTTGTAACAGACACTGTCGTTAGACAGTATTTTCCAAGTCATCTTGATTTACCTTAATCCTACGCTGCATCACTGCTTATCCAGTTACCGGCTGGATCGATAGCCAGTACGTCGCCTGTCAACCCTAAGGAATGTGTGACTCATCTGGACGGGCCACGCCTGACCCCGCTGACCTCAAACCAAGGCCGACAGCCACGTAACAAAAAGTGAAGCGAAGTCAAACACGGTGCGTC